AAATGTTTTGAACATTCATAAGTGTCAACGATGGTTCAGCAAATTTCGTTCAAGTGACTTTAGCCTTAAAAACTGTAATGGCAGAGGCCAACATGTTTAAATTGATATTGTTTCTTTGAAGACGCTTGTTGAGTCTAACCTAAGGCAACACAGTCGTGAAATGGCACTGAAATTGCATGTATGTCATGAAACAATAGTAAACATCTAAGGAATATGGGAAAACTCCATCAAGAAGGTGTTTGGGTGTCTCACGAACTCTCCGGTGATCATTATTTCTATTCTGGTACATAATGCGCATAAACCATTTTTGAACAGAATTGTCACCGGTGATGAAAAATGGATTCTCTTTGAGAATATTAAACGCCAAAAACAATGGCTCAGTCCTAGACATAAACCATTTCCGACTCCAAAATCTGGACTCCATCCGCAGAAAGTGACGCTTAGCATTTGGTGTAACATCAAAGGGGTAATTCCTTTCGAGCTCCTCAATCCAGAGCGAACTGCAAAGATTTATAGTCAGCAACTAGAATGTTTAAATCAAGCCTTTCATCAGAAACGCCCTTCACTCGTCAATAGGAAAGGTGTTCTTCCTCTCGACGACAATGCACGTCCACATGTGGCAGGTTTGGCACAACATAAGATTATGGAGTTGGGTTGGGAAGTTCTCCCCCATCCACCATATTCCCCAGATATGGCACCATCGTATTACCATCTTTTTCGTTCGCTGCAACACCATCTTAATGGGAAAATGTATACAAATGTGGAAGTTGTTAAAGAGGACATCGACAGATTTTTTGCTTCAAAGCCAGGTAATTTATTTAATCAGGCATTAACAACCTTATTGTAAAATAGAAAAGCATCATCGATAAGAATGGAGACTATTTCATTTAATAAATGTTTTGTTTTGATATATAAGTTTTTCATCTAAACAAAAGCGACATTAATTTCTTGATGACCTAAAATATACAAGAACAAAGAACCTAGAATATGGAACAGTAAATTGGTGCTGCCATCTATCATTGAAAGATATTAGTACAAATATAAGCATTCCTACAAAAAAAAACAAAAAAAACTGTCATTTTCAAAACGAAAAATTAGCAAATCTATAACCATGAAAAAACACACACAAAGATTTAAATATTAAGAGTGGCACAACACCCTGCGAAGTCTGATTTTTTCTGAAGAAGTGAATATTTAAAACGGTGAGTAATAAAAATCAGATTATAGCCCTTTAATAAATGTTCAGAGCATTGTAAGTTCATATTAATTATAAAATTTTAGATTCTTCTTTGAATGAAGTAAGCGTATAACTATTATACAGTCAATATATAACAGTATGCTAAGTATTTTTAAACTTCATAAGTTAGCAGTTTTGACAGTTTCGTTTTCATTTTCAATAAAAGAAAAAATCGCCAGACATAAGTAATGGTTTTACTTTACTGACTAAAAACCCATAATACTAAAAGCATTAGTCCTTGATAAGAGATGATTCTCCAAAGCTGGTAGTTTCTGAACAGCTATTGATAAGGCAATAACTTGGACTTAACACAGGAGCTACATAAATCCGTTAATGTCAATTGGACTTCGTGACTAGAAACTCTAAAACTGAGGTCATATGTTACAAAAAAACTTCATTATTTCCCTTTGGTTGTTTTATTTTGGAAGATGAATGTATTTTCTCATTTTCAATCCAAATGAACCTCATTTATTTATTTTTTTAATTTATATAGTACATTTAGACCCTGTTAGCTACGAGAAGGGCAACTTTAAATTTCTTAAACACGATACCGTTTACTTATGTTAGTTTTAGAATGTATTGAACTCTTAAGCGTTAAAAAATATCAAAGTGAATAAAGCTTTAACAAAATATAACAGTTATCTATTCTTTTAAAGAAGTCTAAGAGGAATACTTGTTTGAAAGCAAAAAAATGGAAATATGTATACGTGCATATATTTACAAAGTTCTGAAGAAGAAATATCATTTCTTTCAGTTATTGTTGATTTTATTGTAGTCGTTTACTCAGTAATACAAACTTTCAAGAGTGAAGCCTTTAAAACAATCTTCATCCTTTACTAAGTCGATTCGCCATCTAATGGAAAGTATAATACAAATATCGATTATAATTAATACTACATATGTTACTAATATCAAATATTACTTTCAATGGTTAGCTGAAACTTACATTATATGTATCATATCATTCAACGTTTCATCACTAAGCACGACTTTTTCAAGAGTAGACACACAAAATACTGAGTAAGTGTTAGTTAATAAAAATTATACCACAATGTTTCAAAAGATGAGGTAATATGGAGTGTATTTTTGTTGATTGTAGCTATTTTATTAACATTCTCCTAAGTGTGATATGCTAACTATTCAGATTCTTATTGTCACGAAAATTGAAGTAATAGATAAAGTTTTTTACATGTTCAAAGACATATGAAGGACATTCAAAAATAAATTATTATTATTACTATTTACTTTTCTGTCTGTTTCGTGCATGTAAGTTGAATGACATTTTTTTAAATGAATTTAGTAAACTGACCGGTTAGAATATTCCCCGTTGTACTAAAGCTTACCATATAAATCTCTGATATTTCAATTGGCTTCTGAAAGAGCTTTGTTTATTTTCTATGTTGGGGTTGCTAACAAGGTAATTCCATAGTTTGAGGAGATACGTTTTCACCTAAATTGTGTGTAATTTGGATTTATTTATTTATTTACAATGTTCGTGGATTTTTCAAATTATGTTAGTTTAAGATTAGCCTTACTATATGCTGAGTTAAATACAGAAAACGCAAAAAGATAAAAACATATGAAATACGATATAAATAACAGAGAAATACGTCGTTGTTTTCTAGTTGCATTCACAATGTGTAACATAAAACGCCTGAAAAATGTAATTATATAAAATATTTTTTTTAAAAAAGCGACTTAACTACATTATACATAAACTATAAGCACAGATTGTAAATAAACTGTACTGAAAATGTTAATATGTTAAAAATGAGTGAAGCCAGCAAATAGGATTCACAAAAACTAAGAAGGGAAATATTTATATTATTCATTCATTTAGTATGGTGTTTTATGGCTCCTCTGTCTGTTTCAAGAGAGTACGTTTTTTATTATTGAATATTATTTCCATAAGCATTATACAAAAATATATTAATAAGAATACATTTTTGTTCACGTATTCGATAATTTTAGTATACTGT